TGTGTGTGTGTGTGTCTGTTCGTGCGTGTGTCTGCGTGCGTGCGTGCGTGCGTGCGTGCGTGCGTGCGTGCGTGCGTGTGTCTGCGTGTGTGCGTGCGTGCGTGCGTGCGTGCGTGCGTGCGTGCGTGCGTGCGTGTGTGTGTGTGTGCGTGTGCGTGTGCGTGTGCGTGTGCGTGTGCGTGTGCGTGTGCGTGTGCGTGCGTGCGTGCGTGTCTTCGGTGCTCTCTGTTCGGGGAGCGCCGTCACACGCACGGGGCTGGCTTCCGAGCCCGCAGCTCACTGCACGGGGAGGCCAGTCCGAGGCAGCTGCCTCGCCTCCGGGGTATTCGGAGCCAGCCGCGCGCTGGAGGAAAGAGAGTGTGTGTGTGTGTGCTGAAATTGTGTCTTCCGCTGCCTCGGTGGCTTTCCAACTTGCCGAAAGTCTGCGCGGATTCTCGCAGAAGGGAAAGCAAGATATGTGTGTGCTTGGACGCCCTGTCGCTGCGCCTGGGGCCGCGACGTCAAAATGTGTGTGTGTGTGTGTGTTTGTGTTTGTGTGTGCGCGCTTTCTCTTCTGTGTGTGTGTGTGCTTTCTCTTCTGATGGCCTCTCGCCGCCCCTTTCCTTGGCCTCGCCCCCCCTCCCTGGATGGTGGCTCGGTGCCTTTCACCCCTGCTCGTCCATATCGGAGGTTGATAGACCGCCTACCCTAACACGTCGATTCAGGAATCGGCCGTTTTCGGTTCGCGAGAGGGCGTCGGGGCCGTTATTGTAGTGGCCTTCGGCCAGTGCCGCCGATCCGGGTCGCTCGGGGTTATTCTCCAGACGCAGACATTATGGGCGCACACTCAAACGCACACACGCAGTCACACCACCTAACCCGCGCCGCAGACATGCACACCCACCACCACCAACACACACATACCAGTTAGGAAACGCAAATGCACATACGGCGGGCACACATACAGAGACACACTAGGCGCACGCCAGACACTAGCACGCACAGACATTTGCAGACACGCATCACACACAGACACTCGCACAGAAGCGCACACCTGAATTTGCTTGGGCGTCGCGTGTGATGGGGTTGGTGGGGGGTGCGTTCGAAGCGTAAGTTTGTGCCGAGAGGCCAGACTGGCGTCGCGGGGTCGCTCGCCGAAAGTCCGGGATTGCTTGAAACTTACCCTAAAACGTTTGGCTTCTCTGAAAAAGCGCGCTGCGACGGTTTCATTGCCAGCCGCGGAAATCCAATGGTTCTATGCGTCTGCCGGCAGGCCTTGAGCGCGTCTACAGAGGGGCCGCGGAAATTCAATGGTGCTATGCGTCTGCCGGCAGGCCTTGAGCGCGTCTACAGAGGGCCCCTCTGTAAAATCGCAATTCCCCCGCCCCTCCTTGAGCGCATCTACAGAGGGCCCCTTTGTAAAATCGCAAATCCCGCGCCCCCCATTGAGCGCATCTACAGAGGGCCCCTCTATAAAAACGCCAATCCCGCGGGGGCCTGAATTGCGTTGCCCCTTGAGCACATCTACAGAGGGCCCCTCTGTAAAATCGCCAAACACCCCGCATCCGCCGGAAACTCGCCCCCCCCCCCCCCTCATCCCCCCTTCCCCGGCAGAGCCACCCCGGCAACCCCCCCAGAGGCTGAGGCTCAGCCTCGAGGCTGTAGCTGAGACTCCTTGAAACTCACACGCCGGATCGGCGGATTTTTGCGGGTCCGGATCCGTCGGTTTCTGTCCTAGGCTGTTTTCACTAAAGGGTGGTTTACTAAAGGGATGTTTGTCCACCGCCGATCTTAACACGGGCTTGCCCATAGCGCAGCCACCTTTTTCTGTACGCGACTCGCCATGCGTAGTAGCCCCCCCGTTCTGCAACGCTGGTGGATTTGTGCCGCCTTAGGACGCCTCGCCCCTTGATGCAAAAAGTGTGCGCTCTCTCCTCTCGAGGCCCGGCTGGAGGCGTACCACCGCAGGAACGAGGCGCGGGTGCGACTCGCGATGGAGGCCGGCGTGCACCCGCTGTTCGTGGATTGCGCGCACCTGCGGCTGTGGGAGATGGCGCCGTACTTGCTGCTGGCGGACCGCCTGGGCTACGTTGCCACGGTTGTGGAGCCGCAGGACATTTGCCAGAAGTGGGACGACGTGGACCTCGGGAGGGGAAGATCGAGGGAGACAAATCACCACCCCGACCTCAAGAACCAGCGTTTGCTGAACAGCCCTGGACGTTTACTGAGCAGGCCAGCCTTGCTGCATCTCTCTCTTGGGCGTGCTTGCCAAAGGAGCTTCGCCCCTGTATCGGTGCCACTAACAGTCGAGACGTTGAGATGACGATCACCTCTGCTCGGATGTTCGGGGCTTCCTCAGGCATAGGTCGGGGAAACTGTTATCTGTGGCCGAGGCTCGCCGTGGCCAGACAGGCCCCTTCGTGCCTTACTCGGCGTTCCCTATGGTTCGGCGGCGAGCCCGTGGTGAAGTGAGACGGAGGAGGCTCGGAAGTCCCCCGGCCTCCTGAGAAGCAGTCCAGGCCTCCCCAGAAGACACAGAGCTTCTCAGAGGGCTCGAAGGCTTCGGAGAAGGCCCACCGCCTCCCGAGAAGGTCTTTTCCCCCTCACTTGCTCTAGGCCTCCTAGATGGGCTCGGAGTAGATGGGGTCGGAGGGTCGCGCCGCATCGCCGACGCATCGACGATGCGGCTCGATGTGGAGGCCGATTTTCTCCACGCCGACGTCGAGGATGCGTCGCCGACGCCGCCTATGCGGCGCCGACACATCGGCGATGCCTTGGCGATGCGGCGTGATCCTTCGACCCCCTCTGCTCGGACCCCATCGAGGAGGCTTCTGCTTGCCCGCCTCGCTCGCCGCCGAATGGGTAGCACGACGGCTGGGGTGCCTCGCGTGAGGACGGCCCTGCGGCCCTCCGGGGGAAAGGGGACCGCCACAGTGGGGCCTGGGCGGGCCCAGCCGGGGCCCAGAGCGCCTCCCGGCCTGGCCCACCCAGCCGGCATGTGCACGCCCGTCGGGCTGGGGAAAGTCAGGGGCAGCGGCAGGGGGGGATACAGTCAACCCGCACAAGAAGGATGGGCAACCTTCCCAAGGATACCCTTGCTTGTCCCTTCGGCCCATCCTTGGCCACTTTCTCTGGCCGCGCCTCGCTCGAAAAGCATCGAAGCGGCCCTCCGAGGCCCTTGCATCCTTACCGCGCATCCTTACTATACGGGTGGACTGTAGGCATGGGGGGGGGATGCATCGACACCCAACCGCCCATGGATCGCCGATAGGAGCCCGAGAGCCCCGCCCTGCCCAGGAGGGTGCGAGAGGGCGCTTTGTGGCGCCGCTGGCAGGGGGGGGAGGGAAGGGTTTCCACCAACCCTCCTCCCCCGCAAACGACGGGGCGGGGGGGGGATTCGGGAACCTGCCCCCCCCCTCCCTGAAATTAGGAGGGGGGGGATGCAACCCCTCCCCCTTCGCTCCCCGAGCACTCCCGGGGGGTTTCGACACCCCCCCGAACCGCCGACAGCCGCCGACGACGCCGCCGCCGCCGCCGCCGCCGCCGCCGCCGCCGCCGCCGCCGCCGACGACGACGACGACGACGACGACGACGACGACGACGACGACGACGACGACGACGACACATGACATTCTTGCGCCAGAAGGGGTTCGACCCCCCCCCCAGGCCCCCCTGTGGGGTTTCGACCCCGCCCCCCCCCACCCCCCACCCCTACCTCCCTCCTAGCCGCCGGCAGCCGCCGACGACGACGACAACCACGACAACGACAATATCGACGACGACGACGACGACGACGACGACGACGACGACGACGACGACGACGACGACGACGACATATTTTTGCGCCAAGGAAGGGCGGGGTTCGAACCCCCCGCCCTCCCCAGGCCCTCCCGGGCGGGTTTCGAGCCACCCCCCCTTACTCGCTGCCGGCAAACGATGACGACGACGACGACGACGTCGCAGATCTGCGCCGGCGCCCGTCCACCCGCCTTGGAGAAGAAGGAGGAGGGAGAGGAGCGGGTGAGGAGGAGGAACAGCAGCGGGAGGGGGCGGTGGTTCAGGGGCGGGAACGGCAGTGGGCGAGAGAACGCGAAGAGGAGGGGGGGAGAAGGAGGAGGAGGGGGGGAGAAGGAGGGGGATGAGGAAAAGGAAGAGGAGGAGGAGGAGGAGGAGGAGGAGGAGAGGGAGGAGGAGGAGGAGGAGGAGGAGGCGGAGGAGGAGGGTGAGGAGGAGGAGAGAGGAGGCAGACTGTATACGCATCAGACTTTCGTGTCCCGCCCGCCCGACCCGACCCGCCCGATAGGGTCCGCCCGCCCGACCCGCCAGATAGGGTACGCCCGTCTTGACCCGCCCGTTAGGGTTCTCATGTGTCATGCTGTACACGCATCAGACTTTAACGTCCCGCCCGCCCGACCCGACCCGCCCGATGGGGTCCGCCCTCCCGACCCGCCCGATAGGCTCCGCCAGTCCCGACCCGCCCGTTAGGGTTCTCATGTTTCATGATGTATACGCATGGGAGAGGAATTTTCGCCCCCCCCCCCGAAAAACTCAAGAAAAGAGCACACATGGAACAGATACTCAAAAAAGGGTTCCCGGGGGGCTTGACCCGCATTGCGATTTGAAGGGCTTAGCCCGAATTGCAGGGGGTTCTTTGGACCCCCTCGAAAAATCCACGAACAAAAATCCAATGGGATGTTTTGTTCAAGGGTTCTGCGTTCTTTGTTTGTGTATTATTTTTGTTGGTGCGGTTTTGTCGCACATGGCCTTGTTTTGTGGACGCTAGTTATAGCAGAGGGTTTTTCTCGCGCGCGTAGCCTCTCCTTGCCTTTCCGTACTCTTTGCTCAAGGCTTCTAGCGAGGCCCTTTCTTCTTGGGGCCCCACCCACCCGCACCTTTTTGTGGGTGGGACCTCCAGTGGCGTTTCTCTCGGCCCCACAGTGGGGCACGGGAGGCCGACGCGCGCTCGCCAGCATGACTGGTTGGCGCGCGACCTCGCCCGTGGGCACAGGCGGCCCTGGCAGACAGGCTGCCGTGTCGTGGGGGGCAGGCGGCCTTGGCAGACAGGCTGCCGGGCCGCGAGCTCGCGCCTCGGAGAGAGGGGCGCAAAACTACATCTAGGGCCCTGGAAACCCCCCCCCCCCCCCAAAGAAGCCCCCCCCCCCCCCCCCAGGATCCTGGAGGAAACAAAGCAATCGGAAACTTCTTGTCCCCAAACATCCTGTGGTGTTGAGTCCTCGTTGTGAAGAGACAGCGCCCAGCGTTCATCCTCTCCCCCCCCCTCCTCCCCCCCCCCTCCCTCTTCCCACTCTTGCTTTGATCGCCGCATGCCCACCATGTCGGCGCACCCCATCGCGAGGACCGTGGCCTCATAGGGAGCTCCACCGAAGGCCCCAGCGGCAGGGTATGCATGCGTCCACCCGCCCATTTTGGCACTCCCCTCGAGAGGATCGTGGCCCCATGGGGAGCTCCACCGAAGGCTCCAGCGGCAGGGTTTGCATGCGCCCCCCCGCCCGTTTCAACGCACTCCTCACGAGGATCGCGGCCCGCCCGCCCGCTGATTTTTGCATACCCCTCACAAGGATCGTGGCCCCATAGGGAGCTCCACTGGAGGCCCCAGCGGCAAGGTTTGCATACGCCCCCCATCTGATCGCGGCCCCACAGAGAGCTCTACCAAAGACCCCCGCGGCAGGGCTTGCGTGCGCCCCCCAGCCGATTTCGGCACGCCCCTCACGAGGATCTTGGCCCCGCAGGGATCTCCACCGAAGGCCCCAACGGCAGGGCTTGCATGCGTCCCACCGCCAAGTTCGGCGCGCCCATCACGAGGATCGTTGCCCCATGGGGTGCTTCACCTAAGGCCCCAGCGGCAAGTTTTGCATGCGCCCCCCCCGTCCATGTCGGCACGCCAGTCCCGAGGATCGTGGTCTCATAAGTAGCTCCACCCATCGAAGGCCCCAGCGGCAGGGTTTGCATGCGCCCCCCCGCTGATATCTGCACACCACTCACGAGGATCGTGGCCCCATAGGGAGCTTCACCCAAGGCACCAGTGGCAGGGTTTGCATGCATCCCCCCGCCCCCTTTCGGCACCTCTCACGAGAATCTCGGCCCCGCAGGGAGCTCCACCGGAGGCCCCAACGGCAGGGTTTGCGTGCACCCCCCCGCCAATTTCGGCACACCCTTCGCAAGGATCGTGGCCTCATAGGGGGTTCCGAGAGCAGTACCCACAACGCGGTATTCACAGCTGCATATGGTTGGGTCTTTCGCCGGGATAATTTGGATGGTTTCTGGGGGGACCCATGGAGCTCCCACACCAGTCTCTTTTCCTCCTCATCTTCCTCCTCCCCCTCCTCTTCCTCCTCCTCCTCCTCCTCCTCCTCGTCCCCCTCCTCCCCCTTTCCTTTTCCTTTTTCTCCTCCTCCTCCTTCCGCTCCTCCTCGTCCGCCTCCACCTTTTCCTCCTCCTCCTCCTCCTCCTCCTCCTCCTCCTCCTCCTGTTCCTCCCCCTCCTCCCCCTCCTCCTCCTCTTCCTCCTCCTCCCCCTCCTCCTCCTTCTCCTGTTCCTCCTCCTCCTCGTCCTCCTCCTCCTCCTCCTCCTCCTCTTCCTCGTCCTCTGTCCACGTCCGCTGGGCGCCCTGTTCGCAGGGTAGAGAAACAAATAATATAAAAAACGGAAAAACACCCGAAACGGGTGGGCGGACAGACCGCGCGCGTGCAGCGTGCTAGGAAGGCGGAGACCGATTTTTGTCAGATGGTTTGGGCGCGGGGGTCGCCACCCTAAGGGGGGGGTCCAGCGCCGAGGCAAGAATTTCGCGCGCAGTTCTGCCAATTCGCGGCCCATGGACGCCCCGATCCCCTTTGCCTGGATGCGTCTCTCACATCCCAGACCAATTTCTGGCGGTGCGTCCTCGGGAGAAGGTCCTTCAAAGGCCGATTCCGAGGAGAAAGGCCAGGATTTCAGGAGTCAATCGTTTGGAAGTTTGCGCGATTACTGCCAGACCTCCGACGTCGTGGTTTCTCACTTGGACCCCCAAATTTCTGGACCCAGTCCCCAGTGCTGGCTTCTCATCCGGAGCTGTTTTCTCACGGCCCCGGGCCTGGTAAGGGCCACAGGGCCCGAAGATATCTTAATCTCGGTCGTCGTGCATTTTGTTTTTTCATGACTCGAGGAGGTCTGGCTGGGTGCTCTCCATTGTATTGGCGGCGCGCCTTGGGGGGAAAGAAAGAGGGGCAGGCCTTCTCAGAAGGCGGCGGGGATTCTCAGAAGCACTCCGGCCTTTGAGAAGCCGTTTCAGTTTTCGGAAAAGCACTTGGACAATTTCTCAGAAGACCCGAGGCCTTCCGAGCTTTCTGATGGGGCCCGTCCCCTCTGCATTCCCCCCTGGGCTCGCAGCCGACCTTAGGACCACCTTCTCACCGCCAACAGCACCGCGGACCGCACCGGGGTGGGCAAGATGGGCCCCGACCGGGGCCAGCTGCATGCCATGCTGCGCGCCTTCGAGCCCCTGCCCCTGGTGGAGGACCCTGGATTGTGGGCCCAACGCGAGGATGAGGATAAAGATGAGGATGACGATGGGGATGAGGATGCGGATGTGGATGAGGATGAGGATGAGGATGGAGATGAGGACGAGGATGAGGACGAGGATGAGGATGCGGGTGCGGATGATGATGATGATGATGATGATGATGATGATGATGATGATGATGATGATGATGATGCTGATGCTGATGCTGATGCTGATGCTGATGATGAGGATGAGGATCTTGATGATGATGCTGATTATGATGGCGATGGCGATGATGAAATGCTGCTGGTGATGATAAGGATGACGCTGTTGATGGTGATGATAATGATGACGACGATGGTGATGACGATGGTGAAACTGTTGACGTTAATGATGATGGTTATGATGATGAGGAGGATGAGGATGGTGATGATAATGATGATGAACATGATGCGGAGCATGTGAGGATTAGGATGATGATGATAATGGCGATGACGATGGTGACGATGATGATGATGCTGACATTGATGATAAGGATGAGGATGATGATGATGATGATGATGACGATCATGGTGATGAGGATTGTAATGAGTATGATGATGCTGATGATGACGATGATGGTGATGATGGTAACGATGAAACTGATGATGATGCTGATGATGATGATGATGCTGATGCTGATGCTGATGCTGATGCTGCTGCTGATGATGGTGATGATGATGCTGATGCTGATGATGATGATGAGGAGGAGGATGATGATGATGATGATGAGGATGATGATGCTGATGATGCTGATGAGATGATGGCGATGGTGATGGTGATGGTGATGGTGATGGTGATGGTGATGGTGATGGTGATGGTGATGATGATGATGATGATGATGATGATGATGATGATGATGATGATGATGATGATGATGATGATGATGATGATGATCGGTGATGACGAGGACGAGGAATAGGAGGTGAAGGAAGACGAGGAGGATGAGGAGGAGGAGGAGAGGCGGTGTTACGTATTTCTCCTCCTGGTATTCAGGTAGAGATAGAGGAGGAGGGGAAGGACGACGAGGCGGAGGAGGATGACCCTAACCTTTCATCATAGTGCCATAAATCAGGCTTCCCGATGGTATCGGAGCTGTCGGGGTCGGAGAATCATGCCGCATCACCGATGCTTCGGCGATGCTGCTGTGTGTGGAGCCCGATTTTCTCTATGCCGACTGCGCTGGCGCATCGGCCATGCGGCTTGGTCCTCCGACCCCATGTGCTCGGACCCCGATGGAGGCCTCTACAACAGATAGCCTTTCACCCTAGATGTAACTATAGAGAGATCAACGGGACCGCTTGAAATCTCGACCAGGTTTCACAAGCAAAGAGCTTAGTGTTTCTGTTAGCCCTCTGGGAGGCCAGGGGAGGCGGGAGGAGAGGAAGGTGTGGAGGAGCCAGGCAAACTCGCGTCGTGACAGACTCACAACGCCAAGTTTTATTGGAGGTTTCGGCTTCTGGGGTGTCCTCTGCCAGGCCCGCGGGCCGTCAGAGCACGATCCGGGATGAAAGCATGGCCCCAGGGAAGGTGTCCAGACCCTTGGGGTCCAATTTGCTAACACGTATGGTTTCGTCATGGTCCTGCTGACGAAGGGAGAAGAGGGACGGGGCATGTGGGAATGGCAGTTCGGGATCCCCGTGTGGGTGGGGGGGGTGGGGGTCTTACCCCCACCCCCTTCCCCACACGTGCACAAAACAGAGCGTTCAACCCAGGTGACTGGACTGTTTTTTTGTCCCAACCCTCCTGCGTTGGGTTCTCGTTTTGAACAGAGCACTGCTCGCGCGTCTCCTTCCTTCCCGCCCCCCCCCCGTCCCTCTCGTCCCCCCTGCCTTTGACCTTGCCATCCCTTGGGGGCTGCGATCTGTGAAACTGTCGCCACTTTCGAGGCCTGCTGGGGGGCCCAGCACAGTGGGTACACACGGCGGATTGAAATTGGACCTCGCCATCCCTGTGGGGCTGCGATCTGTGAAACTGTCGCCACTTTGAGGCCTGCTGGGGGGCCCAGCACAGTGGGTACCACGCGCGGATTGAAATTAGACCTCGCCATCCCTGGGGGGCTGCGATCTGTGAAACTGTCGCCACTTTCGAGGCCTGCTGGGGGGCCCAGCACAGTGGGCACACACGGCGGATTGAAATTGGACCTCGCCATCCCTGGGGGGCTGCGATCTGTGAAACTGTCGCCACTTTCGAGGCCTGCTGGGGGGCCCAGCACAGTGGGTACCCACGGCGGACTCAAATGGGACCTCGCCATCCCTGGGGGCTGCGATCTGTGAAACTGTCGCCACTTTCCAAGGCCTGCTGGGGGGCCCAGCACAGTGGGCCCACGCGGATTCAAATTAGACCTCGCCATCCCTGGGGGGCTGCGATCTGTGAAACTGTCGCCACTTTCGAGGCCTGCTGGGGGGCCCAGCACAGTGACGCCACGGCAGATTCAAATTAGACCTCGCCATCCCTGGGGGGCTGCGATCTGTGAAACTGTCGCCACTTTCGAGGCCTGCTGGGGGGCCCAGCACAGTGGGTACCCACGGCGGATTCAAATTAGACCTCGCCATCCCTGGGGGGCTGCGATCTGTGAAACTGTCGCCACTTTCGAGGCCTGCTGGGGGGCCCAGCACAGTGGGTACCACGGCGGAATCAAATTAGACCTCGCCATCCCTGGGGGGCTGCGATCTGTGAAACTGTCGCCACTTTCGAGGCCTGCTGGGGGGCCCAGCACAGTGGGTACCCACGCGCGGACTCAAATTAGACCTCGCCATCCCTGGGGGGCTGCGATCTGTGAAACTGTCGCCACTTTCGAGGCCTGCTGGCGGGGCCCAGCACAGTGGGTACCACACGGCGGACTCAAATTGTACCTCGCCATCCCTGGGGGGCTGCGATCTGTGAAACTGTCGCCACTTTCGAGGCCTGCTGGGGGGCCAGCACAGTGGCGTACCCACGGGGATTCAAATTGACCTCGCCATCCCTGGGGGGCTGCGATCTGTGAAACTGTCGCCACTTTCGAGGCCTGCTGGGGGGCAAAGCGCAGTGGGTACTCACCGCGGATTCAAATTACACCTCGCCATCCCTGGGGGGCTGCGATCTGTGAAACTGTCGCCACTTTCGAGGCCTGCTGGGGGGCCCAGCACAGTGGGTATCCACCACGGACTCAAATTAGACCTCGCCATCCCTGGGGGGCTGCGATCTGTGAAACTGTCGCCACGTTCGAGGGCTGCTGAGGGGCCCACCACAGTGGGTACACACCGCAGATTTAAATTAGACCTCGCCATCCCGTGAAACTGTCGCCACTTTCGAGGCCTGCTGGGGTCCCAGCACAGTGACGCCACGCGCGGACGAAAATTAGACCTCGCCATCCCTGGGGGGCTGCGATGTGTGAAACTGTCGCCACTTTCGAGGCCTGCTGGGGGGCCCAGCACGGTGTGCACCCGCGGCGGATTCAAATGTGACCTCGCCATCCCTGGGGGGCTGCGATCTGTGAAACTGGTCGCCACTTTCGAGGCCTGCTGGGGGGCCCAGCGCAGTGTGCACCCACCTGCAAGATCAAAATACCTCGCCATCCCTGGGGCCTGCGATCTGTGAAACTGTCGCCACTTTCGAGGGCTGCTGGGGGCCCAGCACAGTGGGTACCCACCGCAGATTCAAATTAGACCTCGCCATCCCTGGGGGGCTGCGATCTGTGAAACTGTCGCCACTTTCGAGGCCTGCTGAGGGGCCCAGCACAGTTGGTACCCACCGCAGATTCAAATGGACCTCGCCATCCCTGGGGGGCTGCGATCTGTGAAACTGTCGCCACTTTCGAGGCCTGCTGGGGGCCCAGCACAGTGGGTACCCACCGCAGATTCAAATTAGACCTCGCCATCCCTGGGGGGCTGCGATCTGTGAAACTGTCGCCACTTTCGAGGCCTGCTTGCGGGGCCCACCACAGTGACGCCTCCCAAGTAGCTTACACATCAAGTTGATTGTCCATGCAAGTTTCGGCCAACTCCTCGTTTCCATTGATACAAATGGGTTGGGTACGTCACAGGGTAATTTTTGTTGGGGTGGGCTGGACCGTTCCCAAGATATCCGGCTCCGAATGAACCCACTGCACGGGGCCATCCTCTCACCAGTTTTCACCCCGCGCCACTTTTACCCCACGCTTCGTTTCATCGCGCGGCGGCTTCGACGCCGACGATGACGGCGGCGACGAGGACGACGACGATAGAAGGATAAGGGGGAGAGGGGGATGAGGATACGCGGTGCTCCTGGCAGATGGGCGCATGGGTAGCGAAAAAAATGATGCGAACAGGGAGGGAGGGGATCAGGAAGAGAGAAGAGAAGTCGTAGCAGTGGTAGTATTGTTGGCAATGGCAGTGGCAGAAACGGTGGTAGTAGTAGTAGTAGTAGTAGTAGTAGTAGTCGTGGTGGTGGTGGTGGTGGTGGTGGTGGTAGTAGTAGTAGTCGTAGTAGTAGTAGTAGTAGTTGTTGTAGTCGTCGTCGTCTTCATCGTAGTCGTACTTGTGGTGATATGTGTGGTAGTAGTACTGGTAGTAGTAGTAGTAGTCGTAGTACTAGTAGTCGTAGTAGTAGTAGTAGTAGTAGTAGTAGTAGTAGTAGTAGTAGTAGTAGTAGTAGTAGTAGTAGTATCTGTAGTAGTAGTAGTAGTAGTAGTAGTAGTAGTATTAGTAGTAGTGGTAGTGGTAGTACTAGTAGTAGTAGTAGTAGTAGTAGTAGTAGTACTAGTAGTAGTAGTAGTAGTAGTAGTAGTAGTAGTAGTAGTAGTCGTGGTGTGGTGGGGTGTGGTGGTGTGGTGGTGGTAGTAGTAGTAGTAGTAGTCGTAAGTAGTAGTAGTAGTAAGTAGTAGTAGTAGTATTAGTAAGTAGGTGTTGTAGTCGTCGTCGCTTCATCGTATCGTACTTGTGGTGATATGGTGTGGTAAGTAAGTAACTGGTAGTAGTAGTCGTAGTCCGTAGTACTACTAGTCGTAGTAGTAGTAGTAGTAGTT